CGGGACTGCGGAGGGAGGAATGCAGGGAAGGGGCGAGAGGGGCCGGGGACGGTCCCCAGATGCCTGTGATGAGTTGTGCCGTGCTCAGCACCCTCCCCTCCCCCCCAGTAAACACGCAGATGGCGGTGGGAGGAAATCGCATCTTCCCCTTCCGCCCGCAAAGGCAAACGCAGCGAGGAAATCCCCACCGAGGGGTTTGAGCATCACCTGGTGTCCCGATCCGGGGGTCACCCCCGCGGACGTCCCCAGCTCCTCGCACGGGCACGGGGCTCGCTAGCAGGAGGCACTCAAACACGGGGCCAAAGTCGGCGGGGTTGCAAAGTACGAGCGCAGCCGATATCGTGCTTCTATGAAAAGCGTTTAAAGGCGCAGGTGGTGGCGAAAAGCTCCTCCTTACCTGCTTCCCACGGGCGAACGTGAGCCGGGAGGGAGCAGGGAGGGCAGGAGAGGTGGCGGCCAGGCAGGGGGAGCACCTTGCAGCCTGTTTGCAACCTTGAGGGAAGCGTCCCTGATTTGTCCTCAGGGCTGAGTTCCCAGGGAGGTGGGACACAGTGTCAGGCGTTGGGGTGTTTTGGAGGCAGGGACATGCCCTCCCTGCTTGTCCGTCTGTCTGTCTGTCAGCAAAATTGCCTGTGCCTGCAAACCCTGCAGGCAAAGCCAGGAGCTGGGGGAGCACAGAGATCCCCCTCGGCATTTATTTAAATAAATGCATGGAAAGGATTTATTCCTGTGGGAGCGCTCCCCTGATAGCGCTGCTGCTCTTTAGGAGCTGGATCAAGGTTGTGTCTCTTTGGGGATGAAACAATCCCACGAGACTGCCTTGCCAAGAAGCTGCCATCTTGGAAACTCAAGAACAGCCAGGAAATGGGGTGTAACTGGGGAATTTGGGGCTTCAAAGCAGCAAACCCTTGCTCCCAGTGAGACAGGGACTGGTTTGCTCCAGCCATCCCATAGCAAGGGCTTGCCGCAGCCAGTTCAGAGGTTACAGGGTGAGTTCCCCGTCCAGCAAGGACGGCGCCGGCAGGGAGGTGTTTCCCTTTCCCTTTCCCTTTGCTCTGCAAACCCTGGGCTGATGAGCTCCGGCTGGCCCAGGGATCCTGGGGCGAGCCCTGCCACCACCCGCTCTGTCAAGAAACTTGCCACAACGTGGAGGGGTGAAAGCTCCTGCGTGCACAAGATCTGTGGGGTCAGTGGGTTCACTGGCACTTTGGGGTTTTTCCACTCTGCGGATCTTTGCTCCCCCGAAACGTCTCGGTAGGATGGGGCTGGGGCAGCCCAGGGTGTCAGGGGCCAGCGGTGGGTTTTGGGAGGATGCCTGCCCTCAGCAATGCCCGACCACCACCAGCTAAAAATCCACTGTGTTTGCCCACCCTACCATTCACTGAATATGGGGGTGCCCCTGGCCACTGCCCAAGATTCGGGGGGTTCAGCCCCCCCACCTTTCCCCACAGGCACTGGCTCGCCCACTGGTTATCCCAATTTATTGCAGGGGGAAAAGCGAATCAGTGCAAGGGTGCTCCGCCTGGACTCACCCTCCCCACTGGGGGAGCGGGGAGAAGTGGAGCTCCCCCCAGGAAGGGAGATGAGCCCCTCGCGCCTCCATCTGGAAGCGGAGGTCGGAGCCTGCCATGTGCTCCTGGTAGTGCTGGTTGAAGCGCTTATTCTGGGCCATGGTGACGTGGTTCTTCCAGTCCCCAGAGATCCCTGGGGGCGAGAAAGTGAGTGAGGGAAATCTTGACACCCCCAAAATATTTGCAGCCATGGATGGGGGCTGCAAGACACTCCTCCAAGCCCTCCACCACTGGCTGAGCCCCACCTTTCCAGAGGAAGGGAGAGAGGTTGTGGTCCATCAGGTCAGTGGGCATGATCTCATAGTTGGCGACAGTGTTCTTCCTCACCTCCTGGAAGGAGGTGCGCTGAAGGATCCATGCCACTGTTCCCTCCACCACCTTCTTGTCCAGGAACCGCAGAATCTTCTGCACCTCCCGCTGTGGGTCCTGTGAGTCAGCTGACATGGGGAGGCTGCCAAAAAGACTGGGGGGCAACTGGAGCACCTTCCCCTCCATCCCACCCTCACCTTCTTCATGTCCTCATAGAAGAGGTAGAGGAGCTGCTTCTCCTGCTTCTTCTCCCATCAGCCCTGCACGTGCTCATACCAGGACCTGTAGGCCACTGTGGGATGCAGTCAAAAAGCAGGGCAGCAGGGGATGCTCTCCTCACTGATGTTTCAGAGTGGGCACCCTGGGCTCAGACCGCACCTTTGCCAGCCATGGAGGTCTCCAGGAACTCGCCCATCGTGCCGGGGTCAGGATGCATCTTGGCCATCCGATAGAAGTAGTAGTAGGAGATGTCGACATCCTTGGGGTTGCAGGCCATGTAGATAACCTGGGGACAGCCCAGGATGTGGTTGGGGGGTGAAGCGCAGTGCCCTCTCCCTGCTGCTGGGACAGGAGAGAGGTGGGAGCGCCTGCAGCTTTACCTTGCAGTCCTTGTCCCCAAAGGAGGTTAGGAGCTGAACCGGGAGATGAGTCTTCACCAACCACAGGGACAGGGTTTTCTCCAGCACCTCGACACCTGCAGAACAGAGGGCTTAGTGGTCTGAGCCCGAGCATCCGCACTGCAGCTCAGCCCCTCTCCCAATGAACCCAGAGGCGCAGCAGGGCTGGGGACCTCACCACTCGGCATCTCAGGGCCGTTCATTTCCAGGAAAGGCACCTTGTCGAAGATGGCATCCCGTTGGCACTTCTGCACATCACCATCATGGTAGATCACGTCCAGGACATCTCTCAGCCATGTTGTGCCTGCAGGACAGGGACAGCATTGCAAGGGCTGGCGCTACCCCATCCCCCTGCACCCTTCCCTGGGGCCACTCACCTGATTTGGGGTAGGTGGCAATGAGCAGGTGATCCAGCCGGGCTTGGAAAGCCTCCACCTGCAGCCAGCCCTGGATGAAGCACTTGTAGAGGAGGATGCCACAGA